CATGGGAATGTGAACCCACAGTGGTCAGATCTAGTTTTTTCAGATAAATCGAGAAATAGAGAATTTCATGTAACATCTAACAGATTGAAAACTTGCCTCCCCCCTCTCAAAAAAAACCAAGCACATGAATTTTTTACTCATTAATAAGCAAAAAAAATAAATAAATAACAGACTTGGGTCATGTGCAAAATACCTAGATGAGCCTGAATGCTCAAGTGTACAGAGACAACATGGAGGATTTCTTGTGCTCATTCACACAGGTACCAAAAGGTCACGGCATCCTGCTAAGGACTACAGATGCCCTCTGTTTCTGAAGGTCAAAGTCTTCTAAGCTGTGCCAACTCCCCGGCCATTCCAGGCTTTCCTTTCATCTGTGTGAAGGCCACTCCACTCCCTGATGCCACCTCCCAGATCTGCTCTATTCTTAGCACCATCACCACAACAAAAGTGCAAGGTGCAGGCTGCCTGCCTGCATGCCAGGAGACTGCTACCCCGGGTTTCCAACACTGCTGAAATGCACGGACTCCTGGCCCAGCCTCAGGAGGCTGCTTGACTCAGAGTCAGTCCCACATCACCCCATTGGTACCATTTGCTCTGCCAATCTCTCACTCCACACACCAAAGTGTATTTTATGGAAGAAAGCAAGGCAAGAGACTATCAAATTATCTGTCTCTGCCAGGCTTTTCATGGAAAAGTTCCAGGAAGTTTGAAATATTTATCCATATAAATCATGCAGCCTAACACGAAACCCACTACACCATCAGCATTCCTTAAGCAGCTTGGACAGCGTTCCCATGGCCTTCCTCCCTCTCCACATGCCCCACATTTCCCATTGCTACCATGTATAGCTGTGCACACCAGCGTACTTTTATACCTCACAAATGCTCGGGCTTCGTGAGCTTAGGAAAGCCTCCTGGGGCTTTGTGGGGAGAGATACCTTCTGTGTTGCTTCTTTATGAGCAGCCGGGGCTATAGAGACTAGACCCAGCACTCAACCGGAGAATCAAGAGAAGACTTGGGCTCTGGGTTGTGCAAAAGGAACCCTGGCAATGGAGTGAGTTACCGCAAGGGGTGCAGTTTGAAAACACCAGCTGCTCGGAGGGAGGAAGAGGAGGCTGTCTCCTCCCGGGAAGAGTTAACAGTCTGGGAAAGCCACAGGGCTGTTCTACTGTCAGCTTTGACTCAGTGACAGTGAGTTGAGTTTGGACTTGGGGTGGTGCAAACAAGTCATGTGCTCTCCACTGGCGAATCAAAACGCTGGAGACCCAG